CCCCCGTCCCTGTATTACACGTCAGAACCCTTCTTGTGAGTTATTTCATGGACTGGCTACCAGGCAGAGACCTCAGAGAGAAATGAAGTGGTTTCTGGCTTGTCTATTAATCTTCTAATAAATCGTTATCACTTTTGTTTGTTGTTCTAGAAGAGTCTATTGTAAGGGCTCATCATTTAAAATAAATTTATAGCTTACGGGGTGATGGATACACCACAGTATTGAATTTGTCCAGACACATACACCATTACCGCCAGGAAAAGTGAGACAGGCACCCATCTGGGTATCTTCTGCCTTCTGTCCAAGGCTACCCACAACGATAACAGCATTCCCTATTCCATTCTGAATTCTGGTCTCGGGGGAAGATAAACAAGGCCCACACGCATGTCTCTGGGGGAGAGGGGAACCGAGTCCCCGAGGAACCCACAGACACGGGGAACACGCCAGCTCCAGCGGGGGCCCCATGGGAACTGACTCTGTTCTTGGCGATGCTGTGACCGGCGCTGCCCGAGGACCCGCGGACACGCATGCACGTGCTCCCAGCAGCCTTGCGGGCAGAACCCTCCCCACGCCCCACAGAGGCAGCCACGCCAGTGGCCACAGGCACCGTCAGGGCCGGGCCCTTTCGGAGCACAGAACCAGGCCCTTGGGGCACCCTGAGCTGCAGGTCCAAGGCCAAGATTCAGGCTCAGTGACCCCCCCAGTCCACGATTCAGGCTCAGTGACCCCCCAGTCTCCCCAGGCCCCCCAGTCACACCTTCCTCCGGCAGCTCCGACGGTCTCCTGGCTGGAGGCGCCCTCGCTGGGGGCTGACGGGCGAGGAGGACGGCCACTCACAGCTCCCGGCTGGAGAGAGACCCTCCAAGAGGAACCAGAATCCAATCTTTCTCCGGGAAACCTTCCGCACCCAGCAGCTGCGGGGCGGCCTGCACACCCGCAGGGAAGCGTTTCCACCTGGAGACGGGCGGCACCGGCCATCGCAACATGCGTGTGGGTGTCAGGGACCCCGAGGCCCGGGGAAAGGGATCCAGCGGAAAATGATGCCGACAGGGGCCAGGCCGATGTGATGGTGCCCAGTTAGGAGAGACGCGCTTCCAGGGGCTCAGGAAAGCACTTGAACTCGCCTGGGGCACCGGGCCTGGC